AATTCAATTGTTGTTTTGAGTTTGCTTTATAGAATCTAATTGGTTAGTAGTCTTAAAATTAAGTTTTCTTAAAAGTTTTATTATAAGTTTGACTATTATTTTTGGTTCTTTTTTTTTATTCATTTTTAGTTCTGAAAAATTTTAGAGCTAGTTAAATTTCATAAAAACCTCTCTTTTAGTTTTTTTTTGTGCTAAAAGATAGGGTTTTCTTTCTGTAAGCCATGCTTTAGTCCTGATTGGTTGTATAGAGAGCACTTTTATGGCTAAGATATTTCTTTTTTAATCAAATATACAAGAGATTTTTTTTCTTTCTATTTTTGTCTATAAAAGATTACTTGAAATTAGTTTTATTCAGACTGAGATCAGTCTAGTTTTTAGTATATTGCTAACTATTAATGCTTGTAAGCTTCCTTGTTTGTGTAGTTGTTAGAAGATAGAATATCTCAGAAGCATTTTTGAATTGTTTTTGATCCAATAAGTAATAAGCCTGTTAATTTCTGTTATTTGCTTTTTGTTTAATAGCATTAGATAAGCAACATACCAGATTTTTAAGAGAAGCAATAAGTTTGCCAATATAATTTTTCCTTTTAAGGATTTTTCTAAAAATTTTAATTAAAGAATCTGCAAAAAAAAGTGATACATATTTGTTTTAAACTATTTTTTCAATTAATTTTTGTTATTTTATTATCACTAATTATTTTTTTTAAAAAATATTATTTTATAATCTATATAAAAATAAGATTTATAAATTTATTTATTTATTTTTTTTTTAAAGTAATCTTTTTAGTCTTTTGACTTTTATTAATAACTTATTTGATAATATAATTCTATAAACTATTACAAAAAGAGTATACAATTGACTACATATATAATTTTTTATATTACTTATTTAAGAAGTTTGTCTAAAAGATTTTACTATTTACTATATTTAATACATTTGCTTAAGTATTCTATTTTAAATTTTTTAAATCTGCAACCTATGTTAATATTACTAATCATATTCAAATTATTATTTTAATCTTAAAACTATTTTATTTTTAAAATAAACTTCTTAGAGCCTTTTGTATTTATTTTTATAACTAATTTAGATATCACTATAGCAGAACTAATATTTAAGATTAGAACTAGTTATTAAACTACTGTACTTTTATAGAATTTATTTAAATCCTAATAATTACTTTATAACATATTCCTAATACTTTAGTATACTTCTACCTATTTTTTAAACTCTTAAATAGTCTGTATAAAATTATAATCAGTTTATTAGTATATTAAATCAATCTAATATTTTTTTTTGATTTATTCTAATAATCTGATTAATAATATCCTTATCAAAAGATTTTTGTTTATCCAAATACTTTAATATTGGTATTTATTTCAGTAGTCTAATCTTTATAATAGTATTGTTAAAGATCTATATTATCTTTCTACTTAGGTTTTTTCAAATAAGTTTTTTGTTTTCTAATTTCAACAGATTTACATAGTTATAAGAACTTATATAGAGTTTATACTATCCAATACTGATTTATATTCTTTTATATAATTAGTTAAACAAATGTCCTATAACCTGCCAGTCATGCTAATATGATCATTATTACAAATATCTTAACTTAATCATTAGAATAGCTGTTATAATATAAGTATTATATCAATGATCATCTAAAATTTTAACTGTTAATAGAATTTGAACATCTAACCTATTACTTAAAGGATTAACAACTTATTTATTTCACTAAGTTATCACATACTTATTTTATAAATTTATAAAAGTAGAGGATGGCAATCTTAGTGTAATGATTGGGTTGTTATTCTCTAAATAGCAGGTCTAAGGTTCAAATCACACTTATGATGAAATTTGGAAATTATATCTGTATATCTACATTATGCTAACTGTCTCCTATCGATTGGTTGGTCTTATATGTCTGTTACTCAGGTACATCAGATCAGGTCTTCCCAACTTTGGAAGCTTAGACATCTATGCAAAGTATAATATTATATATATATAGAGGAATGTTAACTGGTATTGTATAAAACTTCGATGCAAACTCATGATAAGACTATCAGGCATAGAAGGCTAAAAAACTAAGGTAACAGAAACCCACTTAGAAATTTCTAAGTAAAGAGGTAGCATAAATTTTTGATGATATCATTAGACTGGTTGAAGCCTATAAAACACCTTTATAGAAACCAAAGATTAAAACCAGACATCAAATATGTATAGAGAAGCACTTAACCAATCAGGCCATCAGATTCATCAGAGAAAAAGGATACATAAATATATTCTATCAGGTCATCTGGATTGGTAATCTGAAATGGAACTAATGATTCCGAGTTATGGCTAATAAGAGATAATGGAGAAGATGTTGGAAAAATAGATGCTGAGGTTCTAATGAACTTTATAAAAATAAAAATAATCTAACATAATAGTTAAATAAGTAACTTCTGTGATTACAAGTGTTAGGTAACTATAATGTGTTACATAAAACTAGGTTTATATATGTAGAACATAAAGGTTCTAGTAAGTTTCCTATTGAGAATAAAATAGTTCTAAAAGTAACGATAAGCATTAAGAACTTGGATGAATATAACCTTGAGATGTTCTCATGATACAAGAAGGATTGCATATGCAGAAGGTTTAAATAAACAAGACCCTTAGTTAGCTTGCAGGTATGACAACTAGCATAGAACTTATATAGCAATATGTAAGCAGACTACTTAAATTAGGTACCAAAAGTATACATGTGACTAATTGTAACCTCCAATGTAAGGAAGCTCCTAGAGGCACTTGTTTTCTAACAAAACAAATAAAATATTGCATCTTCAAAATAAGGACTTTAACTATAAAAAAAAAAAATAAATAAATTTATAAAAGTATAATTTATTATATTTTTTATATAAAAATAATATTTTTTCTTTACACTTTTAAAAATTTATATATTTACAAAAAATTAAATATAAATAACTTTTTATATACTGATCAAATTTTGGGACACATTAAGAACAGTTAACCCAGTGATCTACGATCACATGATAAACATATCATGACATCATTTGTTTACCAGAATTAAACAACCTTGACTAAACTATATCCTCTAAACTAACCCTAACTCGGGCCAAGTGGTTGTCACGTGATATTGCAATGATCACTGGGTTAACTCTTCTTAAAACTTTCCCAAATTTTAATATTTTTTTGTATTATAAATAAAGAAATATTCTTTACATTTTAGTTAGAAAGGTATAATATATTAACATAATAAAATAATTAGTTAACTATAAAAGAAAAAAAGATTTCATAATAATGTATTTAATAGTAATTTGTGCTATGAAATTCTATCCTTATGCGAATCAGCAATTAAAATTTTTGAATCAAATTTTTTTTATTATATTATTAAAAGATTTCTCTAGTTTGGATACAAATATTTTAAAGAATTTACAAAAAAAGCTTTATCTCAAAGAAAACAAATAAACAGGAGGAAACGTACTCGATCCAAAGTGAATCCCACACACGGTGTGATCAATTAAAATTAAAATAAATAATTTTAGTTTTAATTGATCACACCGTGTTTAAACAAATATAATAAACATACATTTTAATATATAAACTTAGTTTTTTTTTTTTTTTTTTATACACGAATTGGCGTTTCTTGTTAGTTTTAATTAGTAATAATCTATAACATTTCTTTAACCTAAAATTTTTCAAAAAGAATTGCTAAATTTTACAAATCTGTTATAAAATCGAAAATTACCTCAATTAAAATTTTAAATTTACTTAAAAATAAAATACACAATTTGCAAAACGCGATTAATTGACATTTAAAAACTTTAATCAGTTATTAGATAATCAGCTAATTGACTTTTTCAACTTTGGATTTGTAATACTAGGATAGGATGCTTTTACAAACTGAACACGGATTCAAATTTCATACTAATTAGGCCAATAACAATCATTATCCGGCCAATTTGCCTACAAAACTATTTAAAGATAGTATTAAGAGATACATTAATATTGTATTTCTCATTATTTTGTATTTTGAATAAAGGCTGGTTAGATGTAGATATTAAGAGAATGTGTATAAAGTAATGAACTATTCATATTACAAGAAAATTTTTATTAATGAATCGAACTTTACATATTTGATTAAGCTATTCAAAATTCCATTTTTTCGTGTCTTCAAATTTTGATGAAATTTGGTTGGTTTTTTATTAATCATTTTTTGTTATATGTTCTGACATAAAAAATTTATTTACTATGCCGAAACGTATAATCAAAGAAAAAAAGATCTGTAAAAAGTCAGCCAAATCATGCCAAATTTAAAGGGATACGGTATATTGAACAACTTAATAGGTAAATTTCGATTTTTTTTTAAAAAAATGACAACACATGTTCTCAATGTCATGAGGTTATAACTGAAAGATTTCACTTTGTGGAATTATTTCACTCTGAAGAAATGTTTCTAATTTTGAAAAGCAATTTTACCGAAGAAGTTAAACTAATTAGGTAGATAATACCCAAGAAAATTTTTTCATAATACTGTGCTAAATTTTGTGACTTCAAAAATAAGATAATTAGCATAGGTGAGTTTGAATTTCGTTGTTCGTCGTTGTGCGAAGTAGAGACTAACAGATGAACCTTACCTTATTTTCATACGACTTTAACGATGTGATCGCATTAGAATCGGTCAATTTATATTTGTTGCTTTTCCTTTAAAACGCCAATATTAGTTACGAAAATGACCGACCATACTTATTTCTGGCTAAAAATGATTAGTAATTAAAAATAGGAATCCCATTCGCCTGAATTTTGATTCTGAAAATAGTTTGTTTTCCTTTCATCAAAAATAAATCTAAGGCACAAGTATACTTGAATGTATTTTATTATCCTCACCGAATATAAACTTCATTTTTATTGCAAGTGAATACGATTGCAAAGAAAAATATTTTCTTATTTAGAATTCGAAAAAAGAATGACGTATGATTATACTGATCATATCAATAATAGACTAAGAGGTAGGTGGTAAAAAATGTTTTGGTCTGGGTAAAATATTATACCCAAAAGGATCATCGGAGTATTTTGGTTGTCGTCGACGACTTGTACCACTGTCACTCCTACGGTTACGTTGCCTATCATTTAAATAACTCATTAATATTTTCACTTTTAAGTATTTATAACAAGAATTAATCAATATATGTAAGCAAATAACCAGCCCACATGGTATTTTCCTTCTTAAGCGTTTGTCTATGGCATATTTCTTGTTCATCATCCGAAAAATCACGTTCCTATATTTAAATTAGAAGTCAAACAAGTTATGATAATTCATTAAAAAAACAACAAAAAAAAAAATCCAAATACATTGTCATCAACTTCTTCATCGTTAATATTACTAGCGTCACATCCTTTAAACTGGCGAATTTGATCAGGAAATGCATAATGTATATATCCATCCGCAGCATATACATTAGCACCTTCCACAGTTTTTTCTTTGTTGAATTCATTTTCATTATTAAAACGAACTACATACAAAGGTTGGCTAACTGGGCCTATTGTTTCAAAAATCTTGATTGGTGGTCATAAAACCATTATTATTATATGAAAGTACACTTAAACTGGCAGAATCTCATGAATATTCTACTTTAACTCACGGTCCCAAAAACTTCTGGGCCTTCAAGTAACAAGACAGTATCAGAATCCAAGACTTGATTTTCTCCAGGGTTAATTGATTTAATAACCACATAGTTTTCCACAACATGAAGTATTGTTCCAATCAATTTTAATTCCATGTCTGGTTTAAGGTCAATTTCTGGTTTAGGTATTACTACATCAATTAATTCGTTCTTAGTGCGTAAAGGAATAAGACAATCATTATTGGCATTTATTTCAGAATTAATGATTCGCTCCATTAAAATCATGTTTCGTTCATGCTGTTGAGGGTCCATCAACTCGGCATCAAGAATTTCTTCATCGGTTGACAATTCAGAACTAGCAATGAAACCAAATTTTGCTAAATTTACGTTGAACATTTAATAATACGAAATACGCATTCGTTACCTATCCTCATATGAATCGATTAACGACGAATCGAGCGATGAATCAGATGAAGTTTCAGATGAAGAATCGGATAATTCAACATCTAATTTCAGATCCTCTTCGAATGAACAAAAACTCATTTGATGCGATAGAGGATTGAAAAAAAGATAAACATAGCCAATGACATAACAACATCATATGTAATCAAAAATTCCCGGAATCATGTGACTGATTATCGAACGCCGGGTGATAAATTCGAATTAGTCAAAATATGTCTTAAGAAGACAAAACCATTTAAAGCAAAAAAATATATTAAGCATAAAATTCTTTCAATTCCAAGTTTTAATAAATTTAAATGATTTTTATATTAATGAATTTTTCATTTATACATTACAATACATTATAATAAATTTAGTTTCGGTTTTTTTTTTTTCATTTTAAAAGTCACCAACTACATGTGATTTTGTACAACCCAAATGTCTAAAATTATTTGATCGACATTTCTGTATGTAAAAGGTGCGATCGACACTGTCTATTTTTAGTAAAACCTTAACTAAAATACATCAATCGCTCGCCGATGATGATCCACTTTCGTCATCTTGTTCATGCTCATTTCCTGAATTAATATAAATATTTAATAATCTCAGAATTTATATTAGATGTAAATAAGTATAGAATGAAGTCTTTCATCGAACCTGTTCCACCAAATAATTCTGTCAATGATATAGGTCCCCCTGGTCTTCCAGTCTGTGTTATCATAGGAAAAAAACAATAAATAATCGAATCATAAAAAAATTGCATAAACTTTTGAGATTTAACAGTGCATACTGAAGGATTTGTCTTTCGGTTTACTCCATTAGCTTTCACTGTGTCATCATTAGGTGCTTCAGTTAATTGTGCCTCTAAATGAGCTTCCAAGTCTCTGAGATCGTTATCTGAACCTAATTCTGAGCCCGTAGAATCCGAACCCTCATTATCTGATTCAGATCCTGATGCGGAAGACGAGCTACTCCCTGATGAAGAAGTACCTGAGGATTCTGTATCGTTTTTTATTATCTCTTCGTCGAGTGCATTGTTGGCCCCAAGAGCGGAAGGTTGTAATGGATTTTCAACTTCCACAAAAGCATCATCATCCATCAAATCATCATCACTATTTCCTCCTTCATACCCATTTTCATCATGTATTCCATTTGTTATACCATTTCCGTTATACCCTTCTATAAATTCATCCTCAATGTCTTCAGCTTTTATAAATTCATCTTCAATGTCTTCAGCTTTTGCTTCAAATTCATCAGCGAATTCATCCTGATCCTCATCTTGCATCGATGTTTCAAATTGACGTTCATAATCATCGATTTCAAAATCAGATCCGTAATCTCCACCTGTGCCAACATTATAATTATAGTCAACGCATTCTAAAGTCCACGTCTGAATGATTTATGAAAATATATAATAATTAGGATCTTATTTCAAAAATGAGGATTGAATGATTTTAATGAAGTTGTGCGAACATGTGTATTTTCATCGTAAATCAACAGGCAGTGTCTTTCTGAATCTTCATCTACATCTTCCTTATTATTTTCATATCGCATACCTGCAAATATATGTATTTCGTCATCCTACGATTGTCAACCATCAAATTTCCGATTAATTTGGAAAGTAAAATGCACACAAAAATCAGCTGTACATTATAATCATCTAATACATGTACTAACCCTCTTTCCACCAAATGAAACCTTAAAACTTTCTTCGCCTTGACCTAGTTCCATCTCTGCTGTTTTTGAAAATTCTATTTTATTATAATCATCTTCATTATCGACTAATGATATTAAAAATTAACGAATAATAAAATTGAATTGATGCATCAAAATTTGTATAATTAAATGTCAAACGTTAAACCTCTTACAAACAAGTCTGCGATAAGATAAATCTATTGATAAATCTTTTGTATTACTAAAAGTACTGCCTAATTTCAATTCCACCTCTTTGCCGAAATTCTCTATTTGTTCAGTTATTTCTTCGTGACTCTCTAGATCCGACATTTACCAAAATTGCTGTTTTTTTAATCTCCAATATTAATATTGTAAGAAATAAGATCTAGAAACTTTACAACATGAAAGAACATAAATCTTAAAAACTCACATGATTTATTTTTTGGTTAATCGATTTTCTGGTTTCAACTGATAGAACCGTGAGCAGTTTAATGTTACAGTTTTATATAACAGTCACACGAGATGTTACGCAAATCACATGGATAAAATTTTTCTAAATTACACGAGGAAGTGGCGTTACACTTAATCTTGGAATGGTAACACTAGGGGAGAGATTTTATCTGGCGGTAATAAAACGCGACTAAAGATGACGACTACACCACCAGCTAAATCTATCTTAAATGCGTTATCTAAACTTAGAGCCAAACTTTTTAATAATGTTTATAATCCAACTAATGTACGAACAGGCAACAAAGTTCTCCGACAACGACTCATTGGACCAACGATTACAAATTGGTATCCAAAGCAATTAATATCCGTTCGTGAAATCACAGACATGTTTCCTGAGTTTAATCTAATAAATCAACAAGAGAAACAACGTTTAGATGAAATTGCGAAACGAAAGAAACGCGGAAAAGGTGCACCAAAGAAAGGTTCGACCGTTTTACATGAATAATTTAATTTAAAATTTTTATATAAAGTTCTTTAATAAAATCACTGTAACATTATATCTTTTTTTTAGGAAAAGGAAAACGGGCTACAATTGGCTCGAAGAAAAAATGAAGATAATAATTTACCAAATAAAACATTCAAAAAATATATTAAAACTTCATTTATAATCTATACGAAGATAATTGTCATACCTCTAAACAATTGGATTGATTATTTTTTTAAACATAATTTACATATAAATTATTTATAAACTTGATCACTATTTATTTAAGTTGTTCTTCTCTTTGAAGAATTTCTTTATCCAATTGAATCAATATTGTAGTACGTAATGGAAAACCCTCTTGAGGCAGAGAATGAGCGGTCACCCGAGATGGCTGAAATTTGTAAACGATAATATCATAGTTAAAGTATAGCATTAATATTCGAGAATATTAGCAATTATAAATAACTCACAAATTGGGCACCATCTAAAATTGCTTCGACAATTCCTGCAAGAAACGCGTTACAATTTAATTGTGATAATTCCTTAGGTACAGAAATATATTTGCTTATTAGCGGATCATTGTCTGAAATCATATCTGGTATAATATGATATAAATTAATACGTGTAAAAATATATATATATATATATATATATAAAGATATAACTATACATTCGTCTTCATGCTCTGTACTCTTCTCCAAAGAATCCGCTTGTTTGCCAAAAAGGGCTTTCCAGACTGTCGTATGAATGAAATACAATATACCCAAAACTCGCGTTTCTCTCTTACTATTTTTTTCTCGCCACACAGTTAATTCTAGCAAGCGTGTTCCTACTCGATAGCCAAAATCATTTAGTCTATATAACAATAGTTTAAATAGACGAGAGAATAACAAACACATTAAAAAGTTTTTGCTATGATGTACTTAAAAATTTTAATGATCTATATTTACTTGCGTTCGAGATCCTGAATTCCAAGCACACGCTTTTGCGCATACTGTAACATTTCCGAAAAAAGAAATGCAAAAGCACCTATTCCAACCTGGATTATTGGAATAAGAACTATCATTGAAAAGCTTCTATAAAAAATTCAAAAATTTAAAAAAACTGTTTTTACCTCCATGCCCCTCGTTCTGTTTAAGTTTCTATCGGCGATGGAAACACGCTTTATTAAGCGTGTATCTACTGATGACATTACTGATGCTCTCGAAGCCTGAGACATTTGATATTTACCAAAGGAATACACCTGAATGTATGTTCGTACATACGTACGTACGTGACATTTAAATAACTTGATAGATGTTCATTTTAATTCACATGACTTTATCTCGGCATTAAAATAAGGGGGTATGGCAGAATTAGCCACGCGTTAGAATAGACCCTAGCGTTTATTATCGTAGATTCAATTGCATTTATCACGTGGTTTTGTACCTATATACAGATTTTCGTTATATACATGGGTTCAAGTTAAAAATTTTCCACTTTAAATGCGTGCAGTTTAGTTCAAAGGTGTAAACAATTTTTTATGAGTAGTAACCGATTAAAATGTAGGGATGATCTAAATATATTAAATTTAAACCTCAGAATATCCAGGGTACAATTATCGCATGATTTAAATTGATTTTTATCATCCAAATGAAAATGAAGAAAGAGTCGACACGTGAATTATTCTAGAACTCGATTTACCAATTCCATATTTAATTTATATTAATATAAAATGTGCCTGAATGCTAGTTAAATGAGAAAGAATCCTCAAATTTTAAATGAGTTTTTATTATAATTATACAAATAAATAATATTATTGATAATCTTTTCTGCAATAAGAAAATTTAACTAAATAAAAATAAAACCGTATGATCTAAATTTATTGTACGTAAAGCGAGTTTTTATTTTATAAAACAACATACAAAATCAAATAAATAATTCAGTGAATTCTTAGAAATATAAACTAACAATTCATAAGAAATAATAACATAAATGCTACCTACCTATATCAAACATACCTGAATGTAGGCCACAAGTCTATATTCATTTTATACAGTTTATTATTTTTAGACTTTGAGTCGAAAACCATAATCATTTCCACCTTGATTCTCAAAAATAGATCCTAAAAATGCTTGATCCTCTTCATCCAATTCACCGATTCCATGCGCAACATTTGGAGCCGATGGACTTACAAAAGATTTACGCCTACGAAAACATATGTAAATTAAAATTTATGAGATAAAACATAATATAAATTAAGTATAAATAGAGTAAGTATAAATTAAAGTAAGTATAAATTAAAGTAAGTATAAATCAAGTAAGTATAAATTAAGAGTTTGATTCATACCTTTCACCACCACCTTTTGAAGGCCAAGTTGGAAACATTTCTGGATCCTTAGGCAATGGACTTTCACTAACAATTTAATTTAAAATGTCAATTAATTATAGTTTAAGTTTATTTTATAATCTAACAATAACATAATAAAATTAATTCATACGTAAAATAAGGATGTTTTAAAGCCTCTTCAGCAGTAATTCGTTTTACTGGATCATATGTTAACAATCTTGCTATTAAGTCAATACCATTTTCTGTCAAATATGGAAACCGACTGCGTATTGAATTATGACTTAAAAAAAAATATAATTTATTAGAATATAATATTGTAAAATGTTAATGATTTATAATTCATGAAACTTACGATTGTTTTACATAAGGAATATTTTTAGCATGCGGCAGCTTTGAAAAACCTGGCCATATTTTTTCATTGGGCATGCCTAATAATTTAAATATCTATAAATATTAAAGAAATTTATTAATTACAACACCTAGAAATCCAGTTGAAAAGTGGTGGTTCTTTTTTTTTTAATTAATATAAAGTTACCTTATCTAGTTGGTCAATTTCTGTTCGACCTGGTAATAAAGGTTCTTTATTAACCAGTTCCCCTAATATGCACCCGACAGACCACATATCAACAGCAGTAGAATATTTTTTTGCACCTAATAATAGCTCAGGTGCTCTGTTTTTTGAAAGGAAATAATTAACATAAATGAATATTCAATAATTATTAAATAATTAAATAATTAAATATATAAAAGAACTATTATTATTAAAGTATTACCGATACCAAAGTGTAACAACCAATTCTGTCATTGGACCTAAAGGACTACCATACTTTCTAGCTAAACCAAAATCAGCCACTTTAATCTGTCCTCTATTATTTAATAATAAGTTTGAAGTTTTTAAATCACGGTGAATGATCCAGTTATCATGTAACATTGCGACAGCAGATAGAAGCTGAAGCATTATTGTTTTGACTTCTGATTGTAAGAAAGGACTCTGCATATCCTCCATTAAACTTTTAAGATCATGCTCTATAAAATCCATTACAATAAATATCCTAATGACAATATGTAAGAGATAAATATGTAAGAGATAAATATGTAAGAGATAAATATGTAAGAGATAATAAGGTAAAATTTAAATATGTAAGAGATAATAAGGTATAATTTAAATAAACGTACTGTTTTAATGCATCACCAACAACAATCTCTCTAACATTAACAATGTTTGGATGTTTGGCCAAAAGTAATGTATGTACTTCTCGTAAAGATGTGATAGGAAAGCCGTTTTTTTCTTTATCCAACTTTAATTTTTTCAGAGCAACAATTTCACCAGTAGATTTATCTCTGGCACGAAAAACCACACCATATGCACCTTCCTCAATTCTATTCAACTTTTCATAATTATCAACACTACGACAGGCAGCAAGCATAGGTGGTTTTTGGGAGGATACAGGTTTAATCATTTGTTCAACCACAGATTGTGGAGTTGAAACAGTATTTTCTGGTGGAGTAGCTACTTCAGTGATTTCATTAACAGATTCAGCGATAGAAGAAGTTGATTTTATTGACGGAGATTCAGCAGCAGTATCAGATACTTTTAATCGTTTTACACTTTCAGTTGCACTTTCCTGTTGCGAACCAAACTCGTCAGCTTCGGAATCAACAGTAGCTTTCAAAACTTTTTTCGCGCTACGCTTTTTTTTGTTGATCCCCTTTCGTTCACTTTCTGGTTCCTCATTTTCACTTTCTGACTCCCATTTTGATTTTTTCGTTTTTATTTTTACAGAAGTCGGCGTATCAGTTGAATGTACTTCCGAATGTACTTCCGAATGTACCTCTGAGTGCACTTCCGAATGTACCTCTGAGTGCACCTCTGAAGGTACTTCTGAAGGCATTTCTGGTGTGGCTACATTTACCACAACATCTATTTCCATCGGGTCTCTAGGAGATTCTTTTTCTTTATTCATTTTCTTTAATGATGAATGATGAAGGAAATTCAGAAATTTGTTATGTAAAAAGTTTTATCACGGTTTATCATGTGATAACTTATACAGCTGTAATTGGCAGATTATATAAATCGAAATTTTGATGGTTTATGATAAAAATTTATTATCTTTTATTACGAGAATCTCACTCAAACAAAAATTTTTTTTTTTATTATGATTCGAAAAATTATTATTCAAAATAAATCAATTAATCAAATTAAACGTAGTTTAACAAGCAAAATTTTGACACCACATAATAATAATAATAATAATAATAATGATAATAATAATAATGAAAATATATTTAAACAAAATATTATCATATATCCAACTTCATTAACAATTAATTCATCACAAAATTCATCAACAACTTTGACAGAAAATTTTGACACGAAATTTAGGTATTGTAATAATATAACACAACTTAAAAATTTAGTAAATCGACTTTTTTATAAGTACCACGTACCACATCAACATAGTATAGTTGCGGCTCTTAAAACATGTAGTAGATTAATAGATGAGATTGAATCAAATAAGAATAAACAATCAATTATAAATTCTAATGATAAAGAGATGATTTTAATAAGTTCAATTAATCAAGATTTAAAAAATTATTGGATAGAAATTCCAAAGGATTCTAATTATACAATTGAAGAAATTTTGGAAATTTCGATTAAAATTTTTGAGAAGATACCTTCAAGAAATAAAACCACAAGAGTTTACAACGCATACATTAATGTATTTGGTAGTGCCAAACGAACCGATTTAGCATACGCGGTTTATAATGGGATGTTAACAAGTCATCACATAGTAAAACCAGACATTAATACATATAAAACATTATTAATTGCTTGTGCCAACAAAATGGAACTTGGACGTGCATTTGCAACGATTGATAAGTTTACAACATCAATAATTAAGAAATCATATATAATGGAATTGATTCAATGGATAAAAAATATATCAATCGGAATGTTTGGAGCCAAATGGATGGCATATGGATATTTATTTTTTACACAAGATCTTGACTTTGTAATATCATCAGGAAAAGTAGTAATTATAGGTATAGGAATTGGAGCATTTCTAACGACAAGATTTGCAATGATAACAATGTTGAAAGATATTAAACTTGCACAAGGACGAAAAGCATCGCAAGTAAAACTTGATCTTAATAATGTAAAGTATAGACAACTTTACAAAATGACACCACAAGAAATACGGAATTACATGTTTACATTTTTAATGGGAACATTATTGAAAAATGGTAGCCTTAACGAGGCATTAATAGTTTTGCATCATATGACAAACAATGAAGCACCATTAAGTAAGGTTAGTAGTAATATAATAATTATAATTATACGTATATAGTTATTGGATGCTACTCAGCCAATAACGGAAATTATTTGTAAAATAATTTCATTATCTGGTCTGGCTGAGTAGCATTCAATAATAGATAACGGTATCTTACTAATGATCGTACCAATGAATAACTTTGTTATTTGATGATGTACGATCATAGTAATAAGGTGCTAGATAATGAATTTTTGTTAATACTGTAAATGAAAATTTTTAATAATAATAATTTTAATAATTAAGGAAACATATAATGGTATAATAAAAAATTTATGTCGCATGAAAATGTCAAAGGTGGCACTTGAGACCATTGAGAAATTTCAAGAACACGGATTTCATCCTAATGCAGAAACATTCTTACCTGTTTATAATTCACTTAAAAGGCAAGGGAGTATTGAAGAATTTATTAGGCTGCATAGATTAATGAGGGATAAGAACGTGTTATTAAAATAATTTAATTTAAGAAAATGATATAATAATGGAAGAGGTTACTACAAGATTGATACAAGGTGACTATATTCAAGGTTACTACGTACTCTACACTTACTTAAAGGTGACATAATTGTCATATTGTCACAAGGCAGAACTCAAACTTTTGATGATAGTAAAAAAATTTTTTTTGACTAGCATTAACCATTTCCAAAGTTTGCATTTTTATTTGTCAATAAAAATCACGTAATTCACGCATATTTTTGTAATTCACGCACGCATATTTTTTTTTCTCAAAATCTTTTTACGCTTTTATTGGTTTTACATAGATGCGATTAAACACAAAGTTTCAATAATCAAATTGATTTCAGAAAAAAATTTTTTTTTTTCAAATACTAAACAAAGAAACAGCTTTAACTTTTCCGAAATTGTATTACGCTTGATGACCTAATCAATTTCGAATTTTTTTTTTTTTTATCAATATAGTATTACATTATTTTTGAAACATATTTAAAGATAGATATTTTCTATCTTATGCAACGCCTTAAAAAAACTTTGACGTGAGAAATTTTAATGATTATAACAATGAAATTGATAAACAAAAGTTTGATTAGGTTTAATTGGTACGTGCAAGTTGAAGCAATTACTGAGGAAACAAATTTCGAGTTGAATTCAGGAACAAATAGAATACTTTAAAACAATAGATAATGAATAATGGAGCACAATCGGACCTCTTCAAGATGCAAAATTAGTCCAAGAGTCAAAGGGATGCACAAATTTATACAAAATAGGTAAAGGTTGATTGAACAATGCTTATCGTTGTTATTCCTTTTATTTTTTTCTAGTTTGATCGTTGCAATACTTTAATTAAAACATCGTTTACCACTAACACGTAAATAGAAATATTAATGAGATTTATAGTAATTTGTTCGGATGAAACTTTGTTTCTTTATCAAGGAGTCCAATGAAAAACTTTTTTTAGATCTTTATAGATCCTTATTGGTTGAAGGAATAATTACAAGAATGCTAATTTTTTAGGAAATAAATAAAAATGCTGTTGCGTGACTTTAATATAATTTACCCCCTAGGCATAATCATACGATCTTGTTTAAAATAAGAAAAAATATTTTTTAAGTATAGCATTTGCATGCTTCTATTTAACTTGGATTGTATTTTTAACATTTTTAGTAACATTTTTAATATTCCATTAAGAACTTATGCATTTAGTACACCCAATAATTAAATAAGTACAACAATATAACTTTTTAAGATTAAGGTAAAGGTTAGAGATAAGAATCAAGTATAGTTTTTATAGTAAAATTTCATAGTACCTTCAAAGGTTTGAATTAATACGATGATTATTTTATTTCTTAGTATATACGTTAAATGTACGTCAATACACGTTAAATATACGTTAATAAACATCAAATATACATTTAATATACATTAATATACATTAAATATACGTTAATATACATTTAATATACATTAAATATACGTTAATTACGTTAATATACGTTAACTGTTAATATACGTTAATTACGTTAATATACGTTAATATACGTTAATTACGTTAATATACGTTAATATACGTTAATATACGTTAATATACATTAATTCCGTTAATATACGTTAATTACGTTAATAAGTTAATGCAAGTTTCTATATTTCTCCTACATCTTGCTATGCACCGTAATTTTATGTTTACCGTTTTTTAAATTTCGTTTTTGGTTTAACACGTACTGTACGTACGTACGTACGTACGTAAGTATCTGGCACGTACGGTACCTGGTATATACTGTACTTACAGTACGTACAGCACGTACAGTACGTACAGTACGTACAGTAAGTACGAGCATCTAGTTATTATTTGTCTTCTTTTAGAGTTAGTAACTACAGTAATGTTTTTTGCCAAATCAAATTATACTGTATTCTTTATTATTATTTTTACAAGTTGTCAAAACATTAATGCTTATATTTGCATTTTGTAACCCTGTTTTACATACTCTCTTACTTATTGATTTTTTACTTTTTGGTACGTACTTGTCTGTTTAGTGATATAAAAAAAAACGAAGGAAACAAAACGCATGGTTTGTTTTTTTTTCCTAAAGTTTCTAACGTTACGTTAATCGTGACCTATAATCACATGAAATCGTGTTAATATGTTCTATATTTAGTAAACCTTATGATTTCATGTGCATACGTATACGTAGAAAATCTAATCAAAAATCGAAGTCGTCTTTTTTTTTTTTTTATTACAGGACAAACATGACCCGTTTATTTAATTATTCTCAAATTTACAGTCATATGAACAGATGTTGTACCGCAAATAATATTGGTCTTTTCAGGGTGATTTACACAAAAAAATTTTTGATGAGTATTCTAATGTTAAAAGAATTTCTCATGTTGAAGCTTTATTTTGTTCAATTATAGTCATACTTCCATTCTTCTACTGTTGTAAGTTACTGTAGTTTTCTTATTAATATATATTTAATATATGAGATTAGTTTTATCAATAATCAAGACATTGATCTATTTTTTTAAAGACACAAGTAAAACGACTGGGAATTGTTGGAGCCGGTCAAATGGTATTCAATTCATTGATAATAAAGATAATAAGGATAATAAGGATAATAAGGATAATAAAGATAATAAAGATAATAAAGATAAAAAAGATAATAAAGATAAAAAAGATCATAGAAATAATAAAAATAATAGAGATAATAGAGATAATAGAAATAATAGAGATAACAGAGATAATAAAGATAACAGAAATAACAGAGATAATAAAGAAAATGATTTATATTATATAAACAGGGAATGGGAATCGCTTTGGTTGGAGCAAAAGTTTCACAATTGCCTGTGAAAATTTTGGATTCAAACCCTGAACAGATCAAAAGAGGATTGGGATTAGTTGGTAATTCCTTTCTTTCTATATATTTCTATATAAATATAACCAAGATAATATAAATGATATAAATAATAATGTAGATAGTACAAAAATATAAATGAATTTTTATAATTTATAGACGAATTACTTCGCAAAGACATTGCTAAGGATCGTATCACGGAAGAACAAGCCATTTCTATCAAAAAACGAATCACAACAATAACTGATATTTCCGGATTATCTGATGTTGATTTTGTTATTGAGGCAATTTCCGAAAATGTTGATTTAAAACGAAAAATATTTGAAAATTTGGATAATGTTTTAAATAAGGAATCAATTTTGGCTACAAATACTAGCAGCATTAGTATAACAAAGATCGCAGCTGCTACGAAAAGGCCTGAAAAGGTATTGCTTTCTAAGTGATTCAAATTAATTAATTAAAAGTATATAAATTATATATAATTATATTTAATTATATTTAATTATAATTTATATATATAATAATAATTTATCAATTAAGAATTAAAATTTTAAATTATAAATTATAGGTTATTGGAATGCATTTTATGAACCCTGTGCCAGTGATGAAACTTGTGGAAATTATTTCGGGATTAACTACCTCTGATGAAACTTTAAATATTACGAAACAACTAGCAGAATCTATGGGCAAAACTTGTACTCAATCTTTAGATGTTCCAGGATTTATTGCAAATAGATTGTTGATGCCTTATATCAATGAAGCTATAATTGTGCTTGAACAGGTATAATTATCATTTAATTTTAATTAATTTTAATATCATAATTAATATAACACTAATTATATAATACCTATATAATACCTATATAATGCTTTTATTACTATATATTAATATTAATATACGCGATTATTATTATTATTATTATTATTATTATTATTTTAAGGGCATAGCAACACGAGAAGATATTGATACCACTATGAAACTTGGTACTAATACACCTATGGGACCTTTGACATTGGCCGATTTTATTGGCCTTGATACGTGTTTGGCTATTATGAAAGTATTACACAATGAGATTGGCGAGAAATATAGACCCGCCATATTATTGCAAAAATATGTAGATGCAGGGTGTTTAGGTAAAAAAAGTGGTAAAGGATTTTATGAATACAATAATTAAATTCTCGATATCGATATATCTCGATATAGTAAAGATTCGACAATCTTTACTCGGGTCGGGTATTATTAAATTATCCGGTTATTCGGTTAAATTATTATATATTTTTAACAATGATTTCTACCCGGATCAAATCCCTAGATTTTATATAATGAAAACTTCAATAAAGTGTGTATAGTATTCTTTATATATATATAGATCTATGATTTCATTATATAATGTGTAATAAATATATATATATATTTGAACAAAAAATGAGAACAATGAATGGTAATGAAGAATCCTTTTTCATCGTGGTATTAGATTTTTTTTTTAATTATTAGAAATAGGTTTTGTTCCGATTTTGTTATATGTTTTTTTTTTTACCGCGTATAAAGATGGGGTTGAGTCAATAGAAATCAAGCAAATTTTTTCTAAGTAAATTTTTTGAAACTTTAAACAATGATAACTAAAACTTTATCAAATTTTATAAAATTTTTTTGAAATAAATGCTACATATTTGTAAAATTCATTTAAAAATTTTTTTATTAAATTTGATTAAGTTTTTATTGAATTATTGTTGTTTAAAGTTTCAAAAAAATTTCAATAAAAACAATTTGCTTGATTTCTATTGACTCACCCCCAGATAGTACCTTCAGTTAACACGCCAGTTAACACGCCAGCTAACACGCCAGTTAACACGCCAACAAATTAATACTAACATGCCAATTAACATGATCGTAAGTTCCAAAAATCAAATTACCAAAATTCACGTGTTTCATTGTATTCTAACGCGTTAGTACAATTATATCTACATTAATTTGATTGAAATCGATAATTAGAATGGAAGAATATTTCATTCATTGATTTACTCATTCATTCATTCATTCATTACATTACATTAAAAAAATTTATACATTAAAACTATTTTTATCACGATTTAAACTGTTTTCTGACAAGTCCGATTTTCTTTTTTTCATTTAATTTATGATCACCCGATCCTTGTCATTTTTTTTTTAATTCTTTTACCTAACAACCAGATAGACGGAAAATCATTGTCATCAGTTATTATTTAAAACTTTACATATAGATTAATTAAAATGGATTAACTTTTTTTGTATATATTATGATTTTTAATTTATCACTTTAAAGTATTCAAAAAACCGAATGTACAGTACGCGATTAATAATATATATATATTATAATTCGTTGGAAAAAAAAGAAAAAAAAAAAGGTTGAGACACGGTAGATCATCGATTGTCATATGAAATTGTATACTCTTTTAGATGTATTATGAATGTCAAAAGAGTCGATTGCGTAATAATTGAAGTAATAATTGAAGTAATAATTGAAGTATAATTGAAGTAATAATTGAAGTAATAATTGAAATTGAAATAATAATTGATTAAAGTAATCATTGATTGATAGGCAAGTCAAATCTCTATTTTCAATTCTTAATGTGAGATGATTTGTACTTCTTTTAACATCATTTAATTGAATCAAAAGAAGAGTGTATATTATAGTATATATGAGTACCGTCAAGAGAAAACCTGCAAATCTTATTTAATAATATTTACGGGGTTTCTCCTGGTGACACTCATATTATGGTATATAAACGCGCTATAGATATGAGTTTAATGCAGATATGAGTCAATGGGCACGCGACCTTATCATATTATCATTTTCTTTTACCATTTCCTCTGAATTGCTTCTTTTTTTCTAAATTGGTTTCTAATTGACTTTTTTTTGTTTTCCAATTTTAAATTTTTTATACAAAGCTCCCTAGGTAAACTAGGTAAATGATGTGACGAAGTACGGGATGAATGAATGAGAGTGAATGAATGAATGAGTGAGTTGAGTGAATGAATGAATGAATGAGTGAGGGAATGAATTGAATTATGTATGCATAGTACATTATAAACACATTATAGGCTTTGTAGACTTTATACATAGATAAATTTATATAATGATCGTTACAACGAACAAAGCATTTCGAATTTATTGTTACATAATCCAATATTTTCAAATATTTACAAAAATGAAATGAAATTTTCGGAGATAAACGCGTCAAATTAAAAAGGGTCGTTAAAAAGGGTTATTAGGAAAAGAAATTAGATATGAATTGATAAAACCGATAAAGTACAGATAAAGCATTTCTTTCTCCGTATAAATAAATGCATACCCGAGTGATGGAAAACGAATGCTGCGATTTCAAAGGTAAATAACAAGGGAATAGCGAAAATGGAAAGTTGGTTGTTACAATAAATATATAGAGAAATGGTGATTTCATAGATTTCGAAGATGACATAATTCGATAAATAGTAATATTCACTTTCTTATATGGAATTTATTTAAAGAATGCAGAGAACAATAGGCAAGGGGTACAGTCACACGTACATCGGCTCCATTTTTTTTTTCCTCTTTTCATTTATTATATAACATTGTGAAAAAATAAAAGTGCGATAACTAATTTGTGATAGGAAAATTAATGTGAACCAAACGTGTACATTGGATAGAACATTGTATACGTACGTAGAACATTGTATGTATAAATCATTATAGTAATTATAGTAATTATAATAATTATAATAATTATAATAATTATAGTAATTATAGTAATTATAGTAATTATATATAGTATATATAGTACGTATATCGATATATAGTAATCATATATAGTATATTAATTATTGTATCTAACATATCATTATCATTGTATCTTGGTATCTAACATACCATTGTATCTAGTATCTAACATACCATTGTATCTAGTATCTAAATTATCATTGTATCTAACTTTTTTTTTTAATATATAAAACATATAAAAAAAATACACGTTATAAAACATTGTATCGATGAGAACAATAGAAATGGAGAAATTTTGATAATGGAATTTATTATTATTAATAATACCAATTTCAGAATTTCGAATTTTAAATTTATCCAATTAAATAATTAAAATTATTTATTACAACATATCAATATCCGAATAAGAATTTAAATTCTGTGGTGGTGCATTACAAAACCCGATCAAAAAAAAATCAAAAAATCACAAAGCGAACAATAAAGTTTTTTAAGGCTTTACCCTTGTTATCCAAATAAATTTGTATCGTGTCGGAAAATTTGCCATAGTTTCAACAATAAATAAAAAATCAAATAAATGCAAAATTCTGCATTATAAAAGTAAAATGAAAACCATGAGAAAAGCAAAGGAAAAAAACGTTATTATCTATTAAAACTATATAAGAAATTGATGCAATGTATATTGGTGATCATCAAATTATCCATCTCGCCTTGACATTGTTCTTTTCAACAATAATGATCATGCGATGATCCTTTTTTTAGATTCTTTTAAAGTAATCTGGGCTGAGTTTCCAAAAGTGATACAGAAAGAAAACTTATTCATCTTTATTCTTTGATAAATGTTTGATGAATTTTAATAAAAATTTGACACAAGCGGATTTTAAAATTCTATGTGATAAGCATAATGTGATAATTCTAATACATTATAAATATATATATATATATATATATAATAATTATTATTATTCATTATACATTATATATATACACGTATACTTATTATTATTCATTATAAATTATATATATTTATTATTATTACTATTATTTATTATTATATATTTATTACGTATTAGTATTATTATTATCGATTTATCATCATGCATTTATAAATTAAAAATAGACCATTGTCCTTGATTTCATACAGATCGTCTTCCACATGTGAATCTTGAAGCTTTGGTAAAAGAAAAAGCCACGCGATGCTCGTGAAGAATTTCTTATTGATACTGTAAAATTTTCGGAGATTTATCGTTTATAGCAGTTATTATTGATAATAAATATCGGATATTGGATACGTAATGCGTATATCATCTTGTATCCATCAATATTCAGACAACCCGTGCAAACAATTTGAATAGCAATTTCAGCCACTTGGAATTGCATAGTAATAAATACGAAATGATCTTATTCTATAATTCCATTTATAATTCAATGATTGGATTTTCTACATTATTTAATATGGCACGCCTCTGCAACTGACTAATGCAACTTATTGATGCAATTAACTAACGCAATTGACTAACGCAACTGACTTACGCAACTGACTTACGCAACTGACTTACGCAACTGACTTACGCAACTGACTTACACAAATGACTGATGCAAATGACTGACGCAACTGACTGACGCAACTGACTTATGCAACTGACACTTAACGTCGTTGCTTCTTATCGTTATAATTTGGCTGTGTGATAAGAAATGATGGTATAATGATAGTATGCGCCATAATTAGTAATCTCTGTGTTACCTTTGTTATGTAAGACAGTTTCGGATTTAAAACCCGCCACAAAAAAAATACAAAAAAAATGAAGAATCATTTAAGAATTTAAAGAATGTCAAATAAAGTAACTGTAATCTTTCATCTTTGTAATTTAATTGACAGACTTTTTTTAAGTTTTGTCATTTTTCCTTAGTTCGTTAAATAAGAGTATAATAGATAATATTTGTTTTGATATTGTTCTCACATTCAATTTCATTGTTCTCAAATTTGGTCGGTTTGTTACTTGAGTGTGTAAATATCAAATATTTGGTACGTACGTACTGTAAGTACCCGATTCTACAATTTTTTTTAACATCCTAAATAGCTCTAAATATCCTTAAAAAATATTCCTTAAAAAGGTTTTAGGTATGTTCCCAGATTTACGATTATTCATAATGACAGATAATGGTTCCCAAATTACATTATATGTTTAAATACGCATAAGTATAAAGCTTTGATTGTTCTAATTTAGTTCAGATTTACCAATTAGTAAATAAGGTTTCATCGGTACCCTTGAAAATTTTGAAACAATAATTTCGACAATAATGACAATTCCTTGAAACTTGTACAAAAAAAATTTTTTCAGATTACAATACAATAATTTTGATTGGTTGATTTTTATATGTCGTAATAATATGAATTTTAACCGATTGAGTTTTGGCGCAAAAAAAAAAAAAAAGTTTTCATGTTGAACATTCTGATATTTTTATTCTTATTGAAGTTATCGATGAAAGTGTAATTTTTTTCTTTTTTTTTTTTTTAACATTTTTAGAAATTTTTTTTAAACGTGTTAAACGTTAAACGTTATACGCGGTTATATGTCGTTGTTATGTAGGTAGGAATAATTTGATAAATCTTTACTTGATTTGGAAAATGTATGCGTTTTATTTATTTAAAATAAAAAATATTTTCACAATCTTCCTTTAAAGGTTTTCGAAATAATAAATAAAGTAGTAGATTTACATCAGATTTTCTTTTTCATGATAATCTCAAAAAAGAACTTGCTTATATCTTTTAAAGATTTTGAAACACACATGGAAATATTATAAATACATTATAGATACATTTGAACTCATTTGAACTCATTTAAACACATTTTCGAACATCTCCTGGGAACTTTTTTTTTTTAGGAAAAAATTAAGATCGTCGAATGCATTCGCTAGCTTAAGATTAAAAAATTGCGATTGTAACCTAAAATTCTGATACGTTCTTTTTATGATCGTCTTACATATACGGCAATTGGTCAAAGAGTAAGTTATCATTAGTTCAAAAGAAATAGAGAGCATAAAGCACTTAATTTATTTAGGAAGTACGAAACCTAACTTTAAAAAAAGGTTAGAAAGCTTTACGTTATGTAACACAAGCATGAAAGAAAAATTTCGGTTAATAAAGTAATGTAGAATTGGTTAACCTAGCATACATACAAAAGTATGCTTTTAAAACATTCGAAAAATTGACCCGTATTCACAATAACAATAAATAATAACAATAACTGATAATATTAAATATGTAATACGTATATAAATATATTATATACTTGGTATATTATATACCTGATATATTATATACCTGGTATATTATACCTGATATACCTGACGTGTAATATATAATACGTAGCAATAATCATAATAATAGTACTAACAATAGTGTTAACAATTACAATAACAATAATAATACGGTAATAACAGTAATAAGTATTCATAAGCATAACATAGTGACAGCAATAGCGATAGCGATAGCAATAGCATAATATATAACACGTTATTAATGATTTATAAATGATTAAAGTTTATTTTTCAAGCTTTATTAAATTGTATTAAAAAGTTTGATTATAGCAAATATGACATAATATTGTAAGCTTGCCCATACTTAAATTCTGATTTTTTTTTTATATTTAAAAAATGAAGAATGAAGAAAAAAAATAAACAAATACTTACAAAAAAAAAAAATAAAGTAAAAAAAAAAAATAAAATAAGAATAAAAGAAAAAAAATTCAATAAACAAGAAATCAAAAAGCTGTACAAAATAATCGCAGTATATACTAGAAGGGAAAGCTTATAAATATTTTCATGGATCCTTGAAGTTTATAGCTTGATTGAACATATATATATATTTTTTATATTGTTCTTTTTTTTTTCTTTTTTTTTTTTTTTACTGCATTTTCAAATTTTTTTTTTTTTTTGATTTTCGTCAAGGGGGTATAATAAAGAGGGAGGAAGGAAAAACGCTATGTCGAAAATGATTGAAACAATACTAAATGAAATAATTTACAGAAAAAAAAATATATAATGAGAAATTCTTTGATGAGTTTATAAAAATGATGATTAAAATTATTATTATTGTTGTGAATTTTTTTTTGATTTTTTTTTTTTTTCCTCTGATTCGGATCTATCTCCAAAGTTATGTATGAGATTGATTTACGAAAAGTTCAACAAGTTATGAAAAGAATAGTTTTTAAAATAATAATAATAATTAATAATAAATGATAATAGTGACTTTATTATTATTATTTATTATTTATTATTATTATTTATTTAAAGTCGATCGTCGAAGACAACAGTATCCACTCTTGATATGCTCTTTATTCGGATGTTTTTCATGCAAAAGAATGGGGATGATGATAAGGTCGAAACGAATTTGTCGGGTCATCATTCAAGAGAAATCTGACCGACATTTTTTCCGATGAGCCTTCAGATGTGGATTTTTTTCTCGGCTTGGTTTTTGTTGGACGTCTCGGGCAATAAACGTAATTAGGATATAATTTCATGTGTTGTTCCTTCTCGAATCTAGCTTTTTCTGCGTAAATTTGTTTTACAGTCTGTGGTTCGTTTGCCCATTGATCGGCAGCGGATTTCGAAATTCGAGATAATTCAGAGAGAAGAATGTTTGGATTTTGTTCTTTGATCTTCTTTTGAAATTCTCGACGGTATATCATAAACGAATTTAAAGGTCGGGGCGGAGTATCCCTATTTCTTCTGCGCTTTGTAGCTCTTTGAGAAAGAGGTGGTGTCATCATTACAGATGGTGTATTGATATAGTTTATTTGCTGTGAGTTGTTGAGTTGATGTTCGTTATTAGTTGTTTCTGTCAAAGCACGTTTGTTAAGTGTAGAACGAGATTTGATCATTAGACGTGAGTTGCCGATGTTGTCGATATTGTCGATGTTTGTCGATGTCGATTTTTTTTTATATTTTTTTTTTTTAAAAAAATAAAAACAGGACGGATGATGGTCTTTAAATACTTTTGTGGTTTTACAGACCTTGTTTGTATTAATAAGGAAAATACTAAAATTACTACAGTAATTTTTGTGCAGAATAGTATTTCAACTTTAAAAAAAAAAAAAAGGTTACAAGAGTCAAAGCGTACTTTTTTTTTTTATGTTGTGTTAATGGAAGGTACTGTGTAAATCAAAAAGGTCAAAGTGAAAAGAATAAGATCTGGGTAAAAATTTTATAATGTATTTTTTTTTTTTGCTATTTCGAATTTATTATTTATTAAATTATTAAATAATTTATATAAAATCAAATTTTTTTGTTGTTTTTTTTTTTTTTTTTTTTAAAACGAGAAGCTCCCTTATATAAGTTTGGGACAATGATATATTATTTTTTAATATAATAATATATTTATTTAAGTAAATAAAAAATATGTTAACTAAACGTAAAACAATTAAACTATTACAATTATAAATAGAGTGTATATATATTGGTGATTGGTGATATAAAATTATAAGCTTATAAGTGATAAAAAAACAATTAAACAAAATCGTTATTATGATTTGCAATAATGGACAGGGGTGTTATAAAAGGAAAGATTTATATTTAGCATATAGATCCCCAATTTTAGTCAATTTAGTCAAATTGGTCAAATTGGTCAAATTGGTTAATTTGGTCAATTATAGTGTGGCGTCCGGTAAGTTACAATCAAAGGAGTTGAAAGGGTAAAAAGTTTAATAAAATTTCAATAAGAACTTTTTTTTTTTCAAGATTTAAGATATGAACTTTAAGATTTTCTATTCGTCTTTGTCGGTGAAATTCAATCCCTTTATATAAATTCATCGTATTAAAGATTACTAGTAAAGGTTCCGTCATAGGGGTAAGAAGCTTTTTACGTGTATTCCCTTATTCGCCTTTGAAAGATTTAAAAAACATATACCCTGATTGGCTAAGAAGAAAAGAATGTTTTATATGTGCTATTTTCCGCATTGTCTCATTTTGCACAATGATGATATTCTATTTATGTATCTAATTTATATTACATGTTGAATATAATATTGAAAAACAAGTCTCGCAGCCGAACATACATAAAATATGTATAATATCAGCATTATAACTTTATATTTATTTTATTGTTCATATACAGTAGATTTACTTGATAATACAGTAATACAGTAAGACAGTAAAAAATTTGATAAAAAATGATATAAATGATATAAATTATATAAAATTGTAAAACTATAAAACTGTAAAAAGGTGATAAAACAAATGGGTTAAATATTTAACATATTTAGTAATATAAATTGTAGTATATATAAATATTATAGTAAAACAAGTAAGTATATCAAAGATTAATAGTAATGAAAACAATTGTCAATGAAAAGAATGTTAATGCAATTGTTGCTTTATACACTTTTATCCACTTTTATCTACATTTAACCTAAATAGATGTTGCTCAATGCGCAACTCTATTATCAAAAACGAAGAATGGTAAAAAAAGCAAGTCAGTGATCTATCTTGCAAAACGTGTGATTCCTTTTTACTAATATATCCGTGGTTCCCGTACTTTTTTAAAAATTGAGAAACAAGGGGGAATATGACCGTCATTACGCCAAGTAATCATAATTATATAAATTGAATCTGCGCTTTGTTAGATCCACTAAAAAAGATCGACTCAGATATTCAATCGTGTTTATTCAGGATAAAATTGACAATAATAGTATAATTACCGATGCAATGTGTTAAAGTACGTAAAAATATGTATAATTAAATGTGTATAAATGTAAATGTATATAAAATATGTATATAACTATATAATTATAATATATAACTATAGTATATAACTATATAGTATATAACTACAGTATATAACTACAGTATATAACTAGAGTGTATAAATGTATAAATGCGGATCAAAAAAAAAAATAAAAAACTTTCACATTTACCGCATTTGTATTCGTACATAATAACTAAAGTATATATGTGTAGTAAAAGTATATGATTAGAAACTTTATTATCGATATCAAACAATTTTCTTTAAGCTATGCATAATGATAATGAATGAAGATTATGAAGATTACGTATTTTCAATACGGATAATATCTCCATATGGGACAGTTCTGTTGTCATACTGGTCGAGGGTCTTATGACTGGTCCTTTGAGATAATTCTATTTCCCTACCCCCCCCCCCCCTTGCATCTCTTGCTCAGACAAATTTAAAAAAACGATGACGTAAAAATCATCAAGTCATCCTTTGATCATCATTGGTGACCTTAATTAATTTTAATTTCGGAATAAGATTCCTTTTTATTTCAGAAAAAATTATTTTGGGAAAATTATCGATCTTTCTAAATTCTTTTGCCTGTAGTCTAATGATGTCAAATGCCAAGATAAGATTTGATATTAAAAATATGTATCGACATTAATTAACCCATGTTTTACGTATCTCATCTTAATTATCCTAATTATCTTTAATTATCTTAATTATCTTAATTTATGCAATTATCTTTAATTATCTTAATTACCTTAATTTATGCAATTGATAAAAAAAATTCATTATCAATACATTGGATTTAATTAGAATTCATGTTTTAAGAATTCGTGTGATGCTATAAAAAACATCCCGGAGATCACCGATACATGTGTTTCGATATTCGATAAACGATATAAATGATATATATAAATAAATGATATAAATGATATAAATGATATGGAGGATAAGTGTGAATAGATAATGGATGATATTAATGGATGATATTAAGTGAATATTAAATAAATATAGAGTGAATGAATATTAAGTAAAAATATAGTGAATGAATATTAAGTAAAATATAGTGAATGAATATTAAGTAAAATATAGTGAATGAATATTAAGTAAAATATAGAGTGAATGAATATAAATGCTATTGACGCAATAATACAGTTTTAAAAAAAACTATCAAAAATTCCCCAATAGATTTTAAAGATTTTAATGGTTTTAATGAGTCTAATTATTATAATAGAAACTAACGAAACTAACGAAACTAATGAAACTAATAAAACTAATAAAACTAATAAAAACTAATAATAAACATTTATTAAAGTTTATAAATAAAGACGAATCGGGGACATAGAATAAATCACATGATTTGCCGATAAGATGGTAATGATTAGATGTGGTAAATTAAGAGTAACAACCAAAATAAGTTGAAAAAGAAAAACTACGGAAAAATTTGTTTATTTTGCTGGTAAAATCGGCATGGGCATGTAATAATTATTTAACGTACGTACGTACGGTTACTACGGTTAACACCGAATTATAAAAAAAGAATATTTGTGCTCTCCACGAATATTTTGTACGACAATTAGGTTTAAAACCGTTAGCATGGAATCCAATCAATTTATTTCCGTGTTACGATGTGAGATGACGCTTTTCGTACAGCGGGTTAAATTTATTGTTTGTGGTATCTTGTGTTGAATATTTTTTTTAAAAAAAATACTTATGGATTTGATTCCTCGTGGTGCGATTCTTTTTTTCACCGTTGCATGCTTCTTTTATTTATTAATATAATTTAAAATTAATATAATTAATATCGAGTTTTAAATGCATGCCAAATTTAATAATTCAAATTGGATAAACAATGCATCATAGGCATCATAGTTAATATTACTTTACGAACCATAATTTACATTCTTAAGCTAGTTTACGCTAATATATGTAAAATGACCACCTAACACTTTTTATGTGACTCTTTTTTCCTCACATCGGTATCATGACATTTTTGAGCAGATAATGTATGTTAAAATTATTATTTGTACATATGATTGTGATATAACACTATCTCTACATTATCTTTGCACTATCTTGTATTTCCCTTATTTCCTATATATTTCTTTTTGTTTTGTGTATTTCTAATGTTACCGTTATGTTACCGCTATGTTATTGCCTATGTTACCGCTATGTTATTGCCTATGTTATTGCTTTATGTTATTTCCTATGTTATTGCATGTTGTTGCTTGAAATTAGAAATACTATGATGCAGGATCTCCAAAACGTTAGAGATTAATTTCTAATTTTAATAAAAAGTACTAAAGTACAGAAGTACATTAAGTACATACGGAGGTAGCAAAGAATTCGGATAATTATAATCCAGTCATATAATATTACTTTTGTTACAATCTTTAATATTTATTATATATATAATATTTTTAAAACCTTTACCTACTACTGTACTATAACAGATAATCTATACCTACTACTGCACTATAATCTATACCTACTATTGTACTATAATCTATACCTACTACTTTAATATGCACATTCTTGTTATTATTATCACGAGTTTCTAGTAATAAAACAATGTTTTCTAAAAAATCAGATTAATCTCCTTATGATGACGTTGCGCGACCAGCGTGGTTGAACGCGACATTTGTTTAAGCATCTACAAACCGTACGCATCATTTTAGCATAAATTAAATGTGTTGTTTATCATCAAACACTATTTTTCCCCTTGATCGGTTTCATCTATGACCTATGAAATCTTTGTACTGTTTGATATTACTGTATCATTTGTTTCATTAGTAATCCAGGGATACCATTTCCAAATATTTATACATTAATTATTTATCTATCAATAACTTTATCACGAACCTTATCAATTCATGATAATAAAATAATAATAATACTACATAAGTGTTTTATTAAATGTTTTGTATTCTTATTCTTTTTTTTTTCTTGTTGCAATATTTCATGAAACCAAGTAGTTGCATTGATATATTTGCATTGATATGGTTGCATTGATATAGTTGCATTGATATATTTGCAATATGGTTGCATTGATTTACAAATTTCTAAAATTAACCGGTTAAAAAAAACTTTAAAGTATTGGAAGATTAGGTTATACATGATTTGATATCCGAATTATAATTTAATACA